GCTCTGGTGTATCACTGACCTAAATTTGCCTATATTGTGATTTGTCATGGTTTGTATGAAAATTATTGTGTTCTCATATAATTTGTTGATAAGTTATCTTTCTCAGTCTTCTGGAAGTATTTACATATATTTGTCATTACTTATTTCTTCAATGTATTATAAAGTTTGCTAGTGAATCCTAATAGCCTAGAGTTTACTAAGGATCTATCGATTACTTTGTTATAGGACTATTTAAGTCTTTTATTTCTTCTGTGTTTCTTTGGGAAGAATTAGTTTTCTAGAAGTTTGTTCATTTCCTTGCTGTTTGATATTTTTAGTTTAAAAATTTTGTGCTTGCACCTTCATATTCTCAATATTGGTGAGAGCTGTGATAATTACACCATTTCCTATTCTGACCTTGATTATTTAATTTTAATTTTCATTAATTCTTATAATAATAAGAAACTGGGGTGCTAACAAGGTAGAAATAAATTTCAGGATAAGCATGTTGGAGAAAACAGAAGTCCCAGATAAGATGCGCCATTATATATATTCTTTGCTTTTAGCTTGCCTCTTACTCTCTTACTGCCTTGTCTCATTTGCTCTCTGTTAATATCCCTTAGAAATAGTTTTTAAGCAAATTAATGCAAAATATATTTTCCCATGTGTTTTGGTTTTTTTAAAACCACTAGTTTATGGTTAATAATAGAGTGAGTGCTTAATTAATATCTGTTATGAAAACAAGCAAACTGGATAGAGAAACTAGAGTTTTATCCCTTACCTATTATATTAGCTTTTATTTCTTGGCCTCAAATTACATTATATATTAACTGAAGTTATTTTTGCTAATTTCTTAATAACATAACTCTAAACAAATTTTACAAAACGCCAACGCTGGCTTAATAGGACCAGAAGTAAATGTTTAAAAAATTAGAAAAATAAAGAACCCTTTATTATTGCTTCCACACTCTAGAGAAGAAACTGCTCTTTAGAGTACTTCATCTTTCAGAATGTTTAATGACATGTATTAGTGTGAAATTTTAAGTGGATACTTAAATATTAGACTTATTTATTTTCATGCATACTTTAACTGATTTATAGTTATAGCATTCTTGAATTTAAAACGTAGCATGCACCTAGTTTCACTAAAATTTCAAATGAGTGCCCTTCGACTTAAAATTACTTAAAGAGCAGGATATTAAATTTGTGTTTAATTATTTTAGATATTAACCCTTGTACTGATTTTGTAGATATAGTAGTAATGACATGTAAAAATTTTGCATGTCAGCACAAAGAGAAACAGGATTTAAACAATTAATTTTCATTGGCTAGATGGTGAAATATATACTTTAAATATTATGTTTTTTGAAGACTCTTTGGGAAAAATAAGCCTTTTATGAATTTCCTTGGTGTTGATTTTCTAGAATTTTTTAACGTTATTAAAAATGATATTCCCATGAATAAATGGTACTTGTCCTTAAGTGCTAGACAAAAGATCATATTTAAAGGATTTGTTAAACACCATTTTTTGATGTGATAAATGCCAAAAATGATTGATGGTGAAGAGATGAAAAGGAAAAAGCAAATTCTTATATATATTTTTTAATGATGACATCTAATTATAGGAAAAGGAATAGGTAAAAATGATATGAGTATAATAAAATGATATTTGATTTATATGGCAAAAATACATTATTAAAATATATTTCTTGATCACATTAATTTACTCATCACTAAATCTCCAGCTTTATTTGCAATCTGTTCTTATGCTAAAACTGGCTGACTTTAATTAAAATAGATATGCTAGAAAATATTTTTAGTGCCTATTAAATTTATAGAAATTGTTGCCATGCTGTTTATAGCACATTTCAACATTGTTCCAAATCAGTGCTAAGAGAAATATAAATCATGATGAGAATGTTCTCTGTGGTGTACAATATAACAATCAATCACCGCATATGGCTATTGAACTCTTTATATATGACTAGTGAAACTAAGGGACTGTGTTTTAAAATTCTCTTAATTCTAATTAATGTAAATTTCACAGTGAGTTTCCAAATGTGACTCTTATAGTATGCAACACTGTACTTTTATTTATATGAAGTAAATTATGTAAAAAACTTAGAGCAGTATTTGGCAGGTAATCAGTACTTATTAGCATTTGTTCTTGCTATTGTTATTGACATTATTAAATGCTTAATGTTCACTTTGGGAAATAGGAATTTATTCACATGAATCCTATTGACAGTAAGATGTTGTACTGTTAACCTGTCATTACCTTTCATTGGGATCCATTTTTTTAAATATCTATCAGCTTAAAAATTTTTTCCAGTGGAATTCTCTACCCAGTATGAAGTTGGAGATGTTTCCCTGATTCAAAGCTGTTATATAATTTTAGGATTCTGAAGATTCTTTATCCTTCTTTGCCTGTTTGTAAAATCCCAGTGGTACAAACCTGCAATTATATCAAGATGTTTCCAGAGGATGAATGATGCAAGTAGAAAATTCATTTCTAAATCTCATGTTATACTATGAAAATAATATAGGCACTTACTGGGAAAGAAAAATCAGTTTAATTCTTCCACTTTCATAGAATTGTCATATCTACATGTAAAACATAAATAAAATATATTTTATGTTTTAGTCATTAGTCTTAGTTTGGAGCTGTCATATGTTAAGGATTCCCTCCATAGTTTTAAGAAATAAGGTAATATTAGTTGAATAATCACTTTTATTATCTCTTGTAAGAAATTATACTCCTCCCCACCATTTTCCTACAGTAGTTTCCTGTAGGCCTTCACGAAGACCATATCTGAATTTCACCCAATTAATTGCTTTTTTTTTTTTAAAGAATCCTGTAAAGTTTAAACAAAGAACCTTAATATTTTTGGATGATAGTTTTAGGATAAAATAAATTCAACTCCCTGAAATGCATATGTTCCCTAGTGTAAGGTCTAGCCTGAAAAACTGCTCCTTTCTTGTGCTGTTTTTTTATTTTCTAGTGTGACAGGGTGGTCCCCAGGAAAAGGGGAAGTTTTAAGTTCCCTGCCCCACCCAGAAGGAGGGTGGAGCTGAGCAGAGAAAAGAAGAAGAGAAGGAATCTGAAGGGGAGGAAGGAAGCAGATTAGAGAGCTAGAAGGAGACCTGAGGAAGCCACATGGAGCAGAGAGCTTGTGATGAAACCGTACTTGTTTCTTGGCCTCGAACTGGCTGAAAGAGGTGTGAGTGAGAGACCCATAGGAAGGTGGACTATGGCAGTGTTTATATTGATTTAGATTTTGCTCTTTTCCTCCCAGACTTGTCTGGCCATTTCTGACCCTTTTGTATGGGTCCCGGCCAGAAGGTGCTTTAGGCTGTGGTGGGCTTTCAGGCCTTGCTTTGGGCCAATCCCTTCTAGGTGGACTTTTACCCAGGAGGGGATGGTTAACTTCAGGTGCTTGATTTAGAAATTATATTCTTTGTCTTCTGTATTGTATACTTACTGTATTAAAGTTCCTTTTCATTAAAGTCTGACATGTTTTGTCTTGATGCGGTGGACTGCAGAACCTGTTTAGAGCAGGCAGGTTTGGGGGTTCAGTGGTGCCTCTCTCCCTGCCCTGTAACACTAGGGTAATAATTTTTGGTATCAGTATAACAGTATCAATGACAAAAAAAAAAAAGTTAATAGAGAGCAAAACTAGGATGCAGTTAATGGATTACAAAAACTTGCCTCTGAGAATATTTGAGATTAATTTATTTAAGGTTAGTGAAAAATAATATTTTTCTCCACTCTGTACTCACACAACAGTCATTAATATAATGAATGGTAGCATACAGCTAACTTATACTGGTCTCAGAAATGTTCCAAATGATATTACGAAAGTGATTGCTAATCTTTTAATATCTCTCTCCAGCCCCTTAAGAAAAGAGGCTAGGGAGATTACTAATCAAATTATATCTGAAGCTACTAGATTGCAGGGAACAGTTTCCTCATAATTATTTAGAGCAGAAGTTGACTGTTGTCTTAATAGCTGTGCCCTCTCCATGGTAACTGTCCACCAATTGTGTTCCAGCACCTACCCTCATCTACTTGAAGTCAGCTTTCCAGTTCCACTCTCAGCCCAGGGGATACAGTGATTCATCTTATCCAAAAATCTGATGACGTCATCACTTTTGAAGCTACTGGTTTGGCACGGACTCCCTTTCTAGCCTGCCAGTAACAAGAGTGCTGTCATTGGAAGTACATGCTAGAAATGTCTTGACAAACAGGAAGGAATGGCCCTTCTCTGCCTCAGGACTTTATTGTGAATATGTTAATGCTGGGGCTTGGGTAGCCCAAGCCACCCCTTTGGGAAATAGCCTGAGAGCATCACCTGGAATTGAAATTTGCAAACAACCGGACTCCTTTCTAAGGTCATGAACTGTCCCAAGATCCAAAAGGTACCTATCCCACAATTTGTGGGATAATAGTCACAAGTTATTAGGGAGTTTTGTTTCTAATAGCCCCAAACTTCCTGACATATATTTTAAAAATGTTTTGATATTTATATCAAGAGAATGTTAAATGGTTATTTAAAGGAAGGTAACTGTAGAATGCCAATTTTTCACATTTTCCAAAATACACTTACTCCTGGTTATAATAATTAGGACTATTATGGTTTGTCTATCCCTGCTAGTTTTTAAGCTGTCATTTCACCTTTGTCTCTAAGCTGTATGGCACAGAAACAAGCATTTGTAATCATCTTTATATTGAAGACTGAAACAATTTGATTCATCATTTTAAACAAAGTTGATAAAAGGAAAATAAGAAACATCAATAGACTTTTATTGAAACAGTCAAATATATAGTGAAGATAAGGTTCTCATTCATATACCATGAAAACATTAAATATATTAAGAAAATTTATCCATAAATGTAATAATTGCATTGATTGGCATTCTAAATTCCTTCTATTTTTGTCATTGCAAAAGATAAAAGTTCTATAAGATTTTAGTGTCTGTGAATCACTACACATACTAGATCATATGTGATCTTGATGTTACTACTTGAGATGATTAGTCATGGTCTCCAGGCTTCCTGATGTCTTGCCATATAAAGGATTTGAGAAGGAGTATATGGAACCCTATTAAAAAAAAAAGGGCATTCAAACAATTAGGATTTTAGGAATTAAGTAAGATATTTACAAGGTAATGCAGAATATAGGCAACTTCTAATAGACTTCTATGGAGCAATAACTAAAGCATCATTCTAATGCCACCTCCATTCTTTCAGTCTACACTGCCAGAGCCACTGACACAAACCTATTCTCTGGGTGGTGTGAGCTGGGGCACTTGGCACTACTGCCTCAATATCACTTCTGGGGAGATGGAGAAAAGCAGTGGAGTATCTTGACTGTCTCTGTCAATGGTGCTAGTTTCCCTAAGCCTACTTTATTGGTTATGGCTAAGTTAAATAAGACAAGAACATTTTTAAAACCCATTAGATTTAACATGGAGAATTGTAGTTTACAGAATTTATTAGAAAGTCTAAACTGTGGTACGTTCTATAGTACAATCATACCTGATTCCTTCAGCAGATAAATTTCAGGGACAAAATCAGAAAATGAAACCAAATAGATACAGGAGAAACTAATGTGGCCTGGATACCAATGTAGATGTGAATACCTTACGTGGATCCTGATCTTAAAAATATAGTAATGATAACAAAAATTAGTACGAAACTCTCTTCTTAGTTTTAAGGAAAATTGTAGGTCTGCTAATCCTAAGTGGCATGTTGAACCATCATTTTCTTACCTGCAGTTCTGCATTCCTACACAAGGTCAGAGCTGCCCTTCAGAAACCAGTCAACCAGTCATAGAAGCCAAACCTTACAAGGTGCCTTTCAAATCAATCAAAAGCAGAAAGTTTGCATACCCTAGGAAGGGTATGCATCAAAAGGTATGCCTGGTAATGCCTGAGGAGGCTGATGACAGATGCATAAACTTACTCCTGACGCGCGCACACACACATCATGAAATATGACTGGGAATACAGGGAAGGGGGGATTCTGTGGAGGGTGCCAAGAATGGATATATGACAAGAGACCCCAGAAGCTTATCAGTGGAACACCTTGCTGATAAGATTGAAGCCCTGACTGGGGAACTAGGGCTTGATCTCAATTACAATCAAGCAGATGAGAAGTACCTGGAGGGCAGACTCACAGTCCCTATTACTACAGATGACAGAGCACATTTTCTAGTTACAGCCTTTCCGTTTTCCTTTTATCCTCCTTCCCCTTAGAACTGATGCTGTGCGATGATTCTTTCAATAAAAAAGGCCAGGATCTTGCTCTTGAGCAGCATCCTGCACTATGTAAACTGCCCCATGACTCCTGTTTCTTTAGCAGTGTGGTGTTGTCCAACACAACAGAAAATGGGAAAAGTCAAGTACCTGCTGCATACTTGATGTTATCAGGGAATTATTGTGAAATATTTAGAGCTGATACTGGTGTTCTATTGTTTTAAATCCTCATCTATAATGATACAACTGAAGTCTTTACAGAATCAAGTAAATAATACCATGGATTTACCTCAAAATCCTTTGGTGGACAAGAACTTTAAGACAAACTATGGGCTCTGGGTGATAATGGTGTGTCAATGTAGCTTCATCAATTGTTTACAAACATACCATTGATGCCTAGTGTAGAAAGTGAAGGAGGCAATGCAGGTATGGACACAGAGGTTATACCAACCTACTCTACACATTTTTTTAAATTTTACTGAAAACATAAAACTTCTCTAAGAAAAGTAAAAATTTTTTACTTTTTAGATTTTTTACCACCAGTTTGGTAGGTGGAGGATATAAGGAAGCAGAGGAGCAACAGGGATGGCTGTGGGTAAATCATCAATGAAGTGGGTTAATAGGCTCAGAGCAGTTACACTCTTCTCTCCATTTTAAAGCAGAGTATGAGGGGATTCCCTCATAGGGGTTAATCTTAACCCTATCACCATGGCCTGAATTCAGTCCCAGCCAGGGAGCTGACCACAAGGGAGCAGACCTCTCCTGACCTGCCCGCTGCTCCCCTCAGCAGTGTATTTCAATAGATTCACCTTTCTGCGCCCTACTCTGTCTCTGGTGAATCCTCTCACCCTGCCCCCTCCAACTCTTGTCTACACACCAGTTCTTAGACAAATATGAGAATTTTCTCTCTGAGTGTTTAGAAGAGTATTTTGGAGACATCTATTTCTCTATTAAAATGGGGAGAAAATACACTTAGTTTAATCAATAGAAAGTGATTTGTTTCTGAAATCCAAATAGCAGCAAAGGACAGGACTGTGATATAACTTCTCTAGATAGTCTTCAAGAGAGGGAAAAGGAATTGAAAAAGGAGTAACTTTTCTTTTTTTAAGAATAGAAAATAAAATGATTTCACTTCCAACTTTCTCAGGAGTCATCAATTGTGCTGTTATATGCATCCTGTAAGCTCCTTCTGGGTGCTGAGGTGCCTTCTCGTAGAAAGCTGGGGGTGCACACACCTTCCTAGAAACTTTTTACTATAAGTTTGTGATGTATTAATACAAAAAATTCTAAAGTATCTCATTTTAATTCTTTGTATCATTTATGTCTTTAAGTGCTAAAAATTAAAATGAGGAAATGACAAAGTAAACTATATTTCCTTTAGTAAAAATGAAAATAGCTGTTACAGTATACCTTCCCATTTTGTCCAAAAGATACATTGTATTTGTTTCTTAAATATGCATTTATTTATTATCCACTAAGTCAGGCTACATTTTTGTTTTTAACTGTCTTGATAGATTTGACAAGTCATTTAAAGCAATTCCCTTTAAGCTCTAAGATTATTTCTTGTTTTCATTCACATAAAAACAATACTAAATATGTTTATGTCATCATTTTTAATAAATTCAGAAGTAAAAAAATAGTCAAGGGTGATGTTAATCACATCACCCAGGGCTCCAAATCTACTGGGAATCATCTGCTGTGACACCTCCCTACTCATTTCTGACAATATCACCATTGTTTGCGATCTATTTTCATGTGTATAAGTAGAGGGAAATTAAAGCTTTAGCTTTCTACCTGGTCATTCTGACAAGCAAATTAATCTGATGCAATATTTCCAAAATCATATATAAGAAAGTTTTCATAGATAGAAAGTGATGTGTTGTAGCAAATCCACTTTTATACCCAAATACATGCACATAGTGCCTACTTAGGAAAGGGGCTAGAGATTTCCCTCACCACTTTACCTATAATCTACTTTTTATTACACTGATAGGTAGTGAACCCTATAAAAGGCCCAGAAAGATATAATGCACTCTAAGCTCTCATTCCTTGTCTAAGTCTAACCACTCATACCACTCATATCTACATTTAAAGAGAGCACAAAACATTATCTTACATTTGACTTAATGATAAAATATGACAGTTGTGAATTGTTACTGTGATTATCTCAGTAATACTTTGTGGGTTAAACCAATATTTTCCAGATTTGTCAGCTGAGTATAATGGTAACCAAAAAGCCATTTAACTGAGCTGATTTTTTTAAGCAGATTGAAACTGCCCTGGCACAGAAAATTCCTATTGCACATTTACAGAGAATGAAGCTTTTCTTGCCCCCAAGTGAAATAACTCCACCAAAACATCCCACTTAGCCAAGATGTACAAACATGTCTAAAGAACATTGTGACTGGTTCAGAGAGTGTGTGTGTGTATGTGTGTGTGTGTGTGTGTGTGTGTGTGTGTGTGAGTGAATTTCCACTTCTGCAATGATACAGTTCGCTATTACTACTTACCTCTGTTTTCTCTGGGTCCATCCAATTCCCATAAACTGGATTAATAAAGGCACAATTGACACTTTCTTTAGTTCTCCTAAAAACACAGAGGGCCACACACAAAAAAAATATTAAGTTATGTACTACAGTACATTTTCAGGATAGCTTAGACAGAAACTTTTGAGAAACTCATTTTCCAGCTAGCATATTCATTGTATGAATGTATTACCATAAGTAAAGAGTTTTTTATAGGACATCAAGTCAGCCACATTCTTGAAGACAAATATAATATACCCACTGAATATTTAGATCCAAATAAATGAAAGTAAATAAAAAAGGAATAAGTTGGTCAGTATTAGATTTTTTAAAAATAATACTCAAATAATACAATGGTACAACATTGGAGACAACAGTATAATATAACCACTGAAGTGGTTATAGGGAAAGGCCACTTTGAAGTCCCTTTGGCTTCAAAAGTGCCGAACCACCACATTCTGAGGATTATTTTTACATGGCAGTGTCTGTCATTGGATCTATAGCACAGAAATCGTGAACTTTGCTTTGAAAGCAAATTTAAATGTGTTTTGAAGAGTTCTTTATTCTAGTATTGCCCTTCATGAATCATAGAGACATGCCTATGATAAACTACTTATTGGTCTAGATCTGTATAATTTACATTTACTAAAAGTCTCCTAAAAGTTCATTTTCTTTTTACGTTTTCATTAATAGTCAAATGACTTATTAGAAGACAACAAACCCTGCTCACAACCAAAGAAGAACTCAAAATGCCCAACACAGGAACAGATATATACATATGTGTGTGCGTGTGTATGTATCTCTCTCTCTCTCTCTCTCTCTCTCTAAAATGAGTAAGTGGCTTTGAGGCTTTGCCTGCAAGATATCTTAATGCTAAGTCAATGTTAAATTACCAGAATAGTAAGATTCATAAGGGGTATGGTTAGGATATGACCTGCGCAGGGCTATTCCCCAAGATGAGAGTGGGTTAAGGAGTGAAGGGCAGTTATGAAATGTGTGGAAATTCCAATGCCAGGGCTGACACACGAAAGACCAACTTGGAGGAGCAAGGAGTATGAAAACAAAATGGAAATTGGGAGTAAAGGAAAGATGGAATATCCACAGACACCCATAGCTCAGAAAGATTAACCTCAATGAGAGCAGGTAGGAAAGCAGAAAACGGGAGGAAACCCAAATCAGAGGGCTAGACAGAACAGATGGTCCAAAGCCTGGAAGCCAACCAGGACATGCTTGGCAGCCAGCTGGCATAAGTGAGGCATAAGCAACACAAAAGATTTCTATCTGAGCAATTATCCTTGGCTCCAACTTCTCGGACCCCAGGTGACTGAGACCAAGAATGGATCAAATTTTCCAGTCCTGTTAATACAACTATTGAAGCTATTGCTCTTCTGAAAGGATTTTAAATTTTAAATAACTTTATATTAAAACAAAATAAAATCTGTAGGTTGTCAGCTTTTGGGTGAATATAAGGAAAGAAGTGTGATAGTTTAGGTTAGGATGTGGTGTTGAAATAAATGATGAAATGGTAACAGAGTGAGCAGTGGCCCATGAACCATGAAAATTCTTCCTACTTCACCTTATGTTATTAGTCATCTCTTATTTTTGCCAAATAAAAGGTATGCATCCCAGGACTGAAATTCTCTGAATATGCTAGCCTTAATCCTTCTTGTATTCCGACTTAGAAGATAAAATATGACATGCCACCAATAAGTACTTCATTGAATAAATTGCTAGGATCAACTCCATATATTTACTATTTTAAATTCTATAATTCTGTCTTCATTACTAATATTATATAGTGCATTATAGTACTGTAAGTGCATTATGTTAAAAATACATACTAACTTATTGCATTTGCCACTAGACAGATGGTTCTACAGATTTGAAGTTTCAAAGAAAATAACTACCTCTAGAAATCAGCAAGGAATTGACTTTTCAATTCAGAGAAGGAAGCTGCAATAATCACATCAACTCTCTTCTATAACTTATCATGTATCAATCACTTAAATTATTAAACTCCTGCTGCATGCAATGAATGAAAACCACTGTATGACATGGCATGCTGAGTGGGGTAGAGAGATATGTTAGTGGTGAACTAGGATTCTGCAGGGAAGTTCCATTTTTAATTTGGTGAACATATGTATATCTCTAAAGGAATTTACCTCATGGTTTATTAACTAACAAAATTATTTTAGTATTGATTAAAAGCATGGAGATATGGGACCTCCCTGGTGGCACAGCCAGTTAAAGCACAGCACTAAGAAGCTAAAGCCACTTCAGCATCAGTTTGGTCCCCGCCCTAAAGGTGATCCACATGGTGCAGCAAACAGCCCCTGATATGCCTATTCTTTTCCCTGGTCTGTCTCTGGTGAATCTTCTTACCGTCCCTGCACATCTGGCCTGTACCCCAGTTCTGTATTTCTGTATGCATAAATAAATACATCTTAAAAAAAAAAAAAGCATGGAGATATTTAAAATGGTCATCAGAAATTATTTTAAGCAAAGAAGAAAAACATAAAAACCCCACCTCTGTTGCATCCAGTAAACAAAATTTGAGTAAAATGGTTATTTTATCTCATATATATTTTAGCAGTTTTGTTGAGATGTAATCCATACATCTTACACTTTTCCCATTTCCTGTATGCAATTCAATAATTTCAGAATGCTAATTTTAAATTACATTTTGGCACCATATTTATAATACAACATGTGTCATGCCAAACCATTTCTGTTGTATGACTCAGCAGTTTTCATTACATTCACCATGTTGTGCAACCATCACTGCCATTTATTTCCACAAGTAGAAACTCTAAACCATTAAACAATAACTCTCCATTTTTTTCTTCCCCTATCCCTCAAAATATCTAATCAAACTTTCTATTTGTCAACTTTGCTTCTTCCAAGTTCCAGAAGAGGCCTATTATATAGCTATTTAAGCAGATCCCTACAATATTAGGCTTTTTGTGTCTTTTTTGACTTAGCATCATGTTGTCAAGTTTCAGGCATATTTTAGCTGATAGAAGAATTTCAACCATTTTTATGGGTAAATAACATATTCCACTGTATGAATATGTCACATTTTGTTTATCTTATCATCAGTTGATAGACACATGAATTGTTTCCAACTTTTGGTTATTGCGAATAATGCTGCTCTGAACCTCAACATGTAAACATCTGAGTCTCCACTTCAACTCCTTTGGGTATACACTTAGGAACAGAATTATAATGTTACTGGAAAATTCTGTTGTTAGCTTTTAAGCAACCTCTCCAAACTGATTATGGTGTTCAAATTAACAGGCTTTTCTTAAGAATGAATGAAGCAAGACTGATTATATCAAAGAAAATAAATGACAACCAACCTATGATAAAATTTGGTCATTCCAGTTTTATTAGGAATCACTGCAATTTTAGTAGGGATCGCATTGAATCGGTATATATTATGGGTAGTATTGACATCTTGACAATATTAAAGTCTTCTTACCCATGACCTTGAGATGTCTTTCTGTTCAGATTTTCTTTCAGTAATGTTTTGTAATTTTAAGTCTAATTTTACAAATATTTCACCTACCTGGTTAAGTTTATTTTTAGGTATTTTATGTTTCTCTGTGCTATTGCCAGTGTAATTGTTTTCTTAGGTTATTTTTTTCCCAATTGCTGAAGAACACAACTATATCTTGTAACTTCATTGAGTTCATTTACTATCTGTAGTAGCTGTCTGATGGAATCTTTGGGATCTACCTATGTACGTGATTATGTTATTTTCTGAGTACAAAAATTTATTTCTTCTCCAACTTTCATAACTTTTCTTCCTCTTTTGTTTGTAATTGCTCTAGTTAAGGTTTCTTATGAATAAATGTTCATCTCCAGTTTAGTGGGGCTGTAAAATTTTCCCTAGTTTTAAACTAAATTGTAATACTAGTGTTGGGGGACAATTATTATGGCAAAATTTGGGTAGTTTTAGAACAGAGCCTGATTGCTACTAAACTTGTACATTTTAGACTAGACAAGTGAATCAAATTTATTTGAGGTTGAAAAGGTGGCTGTGAGCATAGGTGTCACTCTGAAGACTGAAGAATCGCTATTCGGAGCATTGCAAGGAAAGAATGACAGGAAGATGCCTGATTTATTTCTATAGAGAATATGTACCTCAAAATAAACACCTATTCCTATGCATTGTAAATTATTGTTTCATTTGATTTACATATATCTTTTTTTCTGAATGTGTACCACTAATTTCTTTATAACTGCTATTTTTAGTTATTAATTGGTAGTTTAGTTTTGTTAACAACAGACATGCTGTTCTCAAATTTACCAGTATGGCATTTTATATATCTAAGAAACTAGTCAGTCTTCTTAGTCAAATCCACCAAACACCTAGTTCTCACCATTGTCTCATAGGAGTAAAACTGCCATAGTGTGTTCATATTTCAAAATAGGCTTGGAGATCTCAGAGAAAAATGAACTCAAAATCTTAGTAGAAATTAAGAAGGTAAGAAAGCAGATCCCATGAGAAGCCCATGAATGATAAACCTGTTTTATCTAGAAGGAGTGTATTCTGCACTACTTTTACAATACTGTAAAAGCCTGTATCTTCATCAGTACAGAAAACCACACTTCGTGAAACTAGAGTAATTATATTGAATCTATGGAGGAGATTTGATAATTTATCTACCAAAAAAAATGCTTGCTATGCTAAAGAAAACAAGTAAAAAAAGAAGACAACCTATTGAAGAGAAGAAAATATTTGCACATCATACATCTGACAAAGGGACAGTATCCAAAATATATAAAGAACTCATGCAGCTTGACAAAACAAAACAACAACCCCATAAAACATGTACAGAAGAGTAGAGTAAATAGATATTTCTCCAAAGAAGACATACAGATGGCAAAAAGGCAAGGAAAAAAATAATGTTCATTGTCACTTATCATTGGAAAAAGCAAATCAAAACCACAATGAGATATTATCCTATTCTGTGACAGTGGCCCATATCAAAAAGTCCAGAAAAATGTGTTGGCAAGGATGGCAGAGTAAAGGAAACTTTGTATCCTATTAGTGGG